AAAACAACAGGAGCCAAGAATGCTGCACTGGTCTAATCACGTAATCGTCAGTGCTCTTGGGATAACTGGAGGTAAATATCAAACCGAAAAGATGAAATTCTCCAAGGCACTCTTAGTAAAGATAAAAAGCCTTTAATTCACTGAGCTATATGTTCTGTCTGTCGTTTTTTAACTTTCCTTTTCTCTTTATTCACAACAACTTCTACAGGTGCATCTCAATAAATTAGAATGTCGTGGAAAAGTTTTAGTAAAGATACAAAACGAATATAAACATTTCAGGAAAAATGTATGTATCAAGAACTGAAAAAATGACCGTAACAGTGTTTGAATATATTAATAATTCTGCTTTGTCTGTTTTGTCAGAATTTTTTGGGGACCCTTAGAATCCTCTGGAGGCCCATTGTGGGTCCCCTGCCCCGAGTTTGAAAACCCCTGATTTAATGTATTGATGTACATAAAGCCACTCACTTCTATCTCTTCCTCTCAGAATTTCATGATCTTCAACAACATCACATGACTTCTAAAGAACTTCCTGAGGTGCAAACCAGGGTACCAGGTGTGTATACATTGAAGGCTTTGTTATGCCAAAAAATGAGGTGATCATGCTTAATTTTCATGTGATAAACAGATGACGTGCATTTGAAGAAGTCAATGAATGCAATGAAGCGAGTTGGTCTGAAGAAAAAGAATGTTAAACTGGCCAAACCTCCCATATACGTTTGGTATATGATATGTCCGTTATTTATTTCTACAGAAATAAAACATCCTTGGATGAATAAGAATCTGATTATTAAAATTTTTCAGATCTGAATACTAAGATGTTCCAACATATTCAAATGTTGGAAGAGAGACAAACAGTCATCATGAACGACCTGGCAAAAATGAAGGCTGTTCTCATTAAGCAGGCAGATGTAGATGCCCGTGAGGAACTTTTCAAACAACAACAATGCTCCAGTTTTGAAACGTTTGAAGCCTTCTGTCAAAAACTTGAGGAGGACAAAAATTATCGAGAGCTTTATGTTAGTACTACTACATAAATATTGAGTTTTTTTTTTTTTTTATTGACAACAAAGCCACAGTTTAATTAATAATTTATTGCAGTAGATACCATGTAAATGAAATGTTGAAGCCTGGTATCTTTTAATTATAACAATATTCTGTATGTTTTTGTCAGGTAAACTATCTCATCCATACCCACGGCAGCTCCAATATAGGTGAGATAGTGAGACAGAGTCTAAAAAGCATTGTGACAGACAATGTTCTCTGTCTGTACAATCGGATGGGGAAAGATGGGAAGAAGGTGTTGCCACCTGTGCTCCTGACCTCTTTGAAAAGTAAGTGTATAAGTTGTGGTTTGTGCATCTGAACACTACTGTAGAAAATGTAATGTCAAGAGAAGTAGTTGTTAGTAACGTGTTGCTTTAACATATTGCTCTTTGTGTTTCAGGATGTGTCAGGTTTTTTCAAACGCACAATGAAATAGAGGTGAAGAAGCAAAAAGTCGTCACAATAACTACACCAGAAACTGAATGTATTCGCCAAGTTGAAATTTTTGTGTCCAATGCCAACACCAGGCTGAAAAGAAAACAAAATAAAGAAGAAAACTGACTTTTTGTTTGATTGTCTTTGTTGATTGAAATAAAGAATGCACTTGTAAATGTTTTGGACAAGTACTTCTACTCTACTCGCACTACATTGTTTGGAAGGTAATGGTACTTTTACTTGAGTATATTTTTTCAGTACTCTTTCCACCACTGACTGTTACTAGTTCTAAAGTGGCGTTTCTGAATTAGTAACGGAGGATTGGGCTCAGCTGTTTAACTGTCAACTTTAGGTTTGAATCCGTGGCGGAAGGAAGTAGTTCTGCACAAAAGAGGGCTTTTAAAGACACTCCGTTGTTGTTTCTTATGTATTTACACACTCATGCCATCAAACTGTTGTATAAACGCAATATCACACTCGTAGACGTGAGATATGGCTGTATATTACCTACGGCCGAATCACAGCTGTGCCGATATACAGACATATCTCACGTCTACGAGTGTGATATTGCTCATATATTAATTATATTGTATTATATTAAGTAATATAATATATACATATATTTATTTTACTCTCTGCACAACTCTGTATACATTGGATTGATTTTAATAACTTTAATGTACTTGAATTGTCACCAAACTCTAGGAATATATAAGTATCAGCAGATAATCAATATTCAATGAATCAATCGGGGGCAAAAAAACCCTGATCGGGACATCCCTATTTGCTTCACTAATGTCATAACACATGTGTATTAGGGTGGCCCTTATTGGGGGGTAATTTGTTTTACTGGAAATGTTAACCTCTCACCCCCTCATTTGTTTCTCCACTAGAAGGATGTAATGTATGCAAAATACCATCTAGATAATTTGTCATTTAGGGTGTGCTCAAAGACTGTATCTTTTTATCAACAGGTACTTCAAGATCTGATTGGTGATATTAGCAAAGGTTTTGTTCACTGATAAACTTTTGACTGTTTCTGATTTCAGATGACTCTCTAACCATTAGGCCACAACTGCCCCTTTGTTTCTCCACTAGAAGTAGGGGCAGTTGTGGCTGTACCTGTACCTTCCAGCGATCGGCCGGCTTAACACTTCCTAACAACATTTGAATACTTCCGAACAAAGTCAGAATGAAAGTCCGAACGAGGTGCGAACACCTCCTAATTAAATCCGAACAGGTCCTAACAGATGGGACAAAGGAGCCAATCAGCAATTGAGATGACATGCCAATCTCGCTGCTGATTGGCTGAATGAGTTTAGTGAAATTCCAGCTGTTTGCAACTCACTGGACATCTGCTATCCGGAGATTCAAAGTAAGCGTTGTCAAATTACAAATACGTTAATTCATGATTTGGAATAAAGATTATTCGGATCGGTACACTTAAGAGGTCTACGCTTGCGTAGCAAGGCAAGCTAACTTAACAGTGACGTGTATCAGTTATCGCTAACTAACGCTAGTTAACTCTTTGATGCATAACATGGGTCTAAAGTGACCCGACCGAGTTTTTATTTTCAATATCTTTGCAAGAATTTAATTTCATCATTCAGTATTCCAAGTATTCATTCCCTATGCTATTTCAGTCATGGCTGGGTGATTCTTTGCTGAATGTATTTTAATCATTTATTATTCCAGGTATTCATTAAATATCTAGTTTTTGATTTCCACAAATCATTATGTTCATTTTGTTTCCCCTTAGGAAACATATTTACTGCAGAAAACTATTAACTTGCCACATATTTCACCACTCAACATGTCTGCTTCCGTATATTTGATGCAAATCTTTATGTATATATATATATATATATACCACCACGCTGAAGGGTCCAGGGTGCTGTTGGACTCCTCCAACACATTGAGTTCAGCCATTATGGGGGCCCTATTGGCTTCACGTGTCGGCCCTTCAAAAAATCCCACACTATCTCCACGGCTGGCGCCACCTCCGCAGCACTTGCCGTCTCCACTGCCAGCACCAGTGTCTCCATCCCCGCGGCCGTCTCCGGCTCTACTCAGCCCAGGCAGCACACATAGAGAAGGCAGAAAGCTGCCCAAGAGGATGAGGAGCGAGTGGCGAGGGGTGAACCACCACGGAAACGACTAGCAAAGGATATATATCACTATATCTGCAAGCAGTGTGGGCTGGCAACACTCAGCGGAAGGGCCGGTGGTATTGACTAGCCTCAGGCGTCTCTGTTGCACACTGGAGGGAGAGTGTACAGGGAGGTCTTTGATGTTTTTTTATTGGAGTATATTGTAGTTATGTATATAGTTAGGTTTTTATATAGTTTTTTATAGTTGTATATAGTTCAGTTTTTAAGTGTGCTTGCTGTGCTGTGAACATTTTGTTTTTAGTTGCTGTTTGTAGTGCTTAATGTGCAGTGTTTGTAAAAAAACTCTTGTGGAATAATAGTCACACATCCATCCTTTGGGTGGAAGATTCTAGGTGTCCTGGCAAGAGTGTGTGGTGTGTTTGTCAGATCAGTTTTTATTATAAATTGTATAGTCAAAAATCAATCAATCAAACCCTTTACTTAAATCCTTTGTGAGTGATCATGAAGTATTAATTTTTTTTCTTTCATTTAGATCGCAGTTGTTCACAGATCAGTTCTCATCAGCAGCGTTTGTAGTAATGTTTTATGCCTTCGATAGGACAGTAAGTGGACATGATGTGGAGTGGGAGAGAGAGGGGGGGGGGACGGGATCGGGAAAGGTCCACAAGCCAGGACTCGAACTCGGGTCTGAAGCACAGCGGCGCTACATGACGTCTAACAACACTCTTATCATGAAGTATTAATTTTTTTTCTTTCATTTTCCTTCGTTCCCCCCTTTCCCCTTTCTTTCCCCCCTTGTAGCAGTCCCTTTTGCCCTGTTTTGCTCTTATCCAAATGTACAATGGACTCCTCTGAAAGACTGAAGAACAAACGCAGTTCATTATGCAGGTTGTCAGAGAGCACTGAAATCTGTTTCCAGGTCCCCGCAAGAGTACTGTGTTTGAAGGACTTGTCGGATCATCATAAATATCTAGATCAGATCTCAGTTTTGTTCTTCACCAGTACAGTAATTTCACTTTTTAACATTCTGCTTCTACGTCTGCAAGAACTTTGCTTTTTTAATTAAAGAATTAATTAAGGGAAATGTAAACCAGATTTCATTACCATTTATAACCATTTTAAACCACCATCAACATAGCCCTTTACAGTTCTTTAATAAAATACACTTTAACAAAACAAAGTTTAAACTTTGTAATATGAAGATCAAGATACCTGACTTTGTTCGTGATTGAGAATAGGCTCTGGTGTTATAACTGCGATCACTTCACACTTGATTACATTTCTATATAAGCCAGAAGCTTAAAATCTTTCTGAATCTGTGGTTTATCCTTTGAATCAATCCTTTATGCTATTGTTTAAATGTGTTTTCTGTATGTGAATTTCTGTTTTGTGTGAACAGGACTTTTATTTTGGTGGGGCGGTGTGACGTCATAAGTCTGCGTCGCGCTCCTGCGTCTGTGTTTCTGCTGAAGAAAGGTTTGTGTTTTTAATCGTTTAAAGTGTTTACATCAATACAACTTTTTTTTTTAAATGTAATGTTAAAATCTGTCTAATAACAGTAATGAACGTAGTTTTTATAGTAAAGCACATCCACACACGAGTAACAGAAAAGATGCGTCTGATTTAGCTCCCTATATAGTGCAGCAGTGCATCATAAACACACTGTCTGCTCACTGGCCTGTAAGAGATTCATCCCATCATTGTTTGTCAAGAAAGTAGTCTGTGTATTATATTTTCTGCGTCATCTGATTTAGACAGAAGAAAGTTTGATTTTTAACTAGAATATTTTGTTTTGACCTGGAAGTTTGAGCATTGTGCAAGTTGGTGTTTTAAGATTGTGTTTATAGTTGTGAGAAAATGATGAATTGTTTAATGAATTGTGTGTTAGCAATCAAGAAAAACTAATAACCAGAAAAGTTTGAAAGAAAAATGTATGCTGGCTTGTCTTGTTTAACAAAGGTCAATAGTTTGGTCAGTTAGGTCAGAATAGATAGATGTCCTGGGTGGTTGCTAGGAGATTCTGGGTGGTTGCTAAAGTGTTGCTAGGAGATTCCGGGTGGTTGCTAAAGTGTTGCTAGGAGATTCCGGGTGGTTCCTAAAGTGTTGCTAGGAGATTCTGTGTGGTTCCTAAAGTGTTGCTAGGAGATTCTGGGCGGTTGCTAAAGTGTTGCTAGGAGATTCCGGTTGGTTTATAAAGTGTTGCTAGTGCTAAAGTGTTGCTAGGAGATTCTGGGTGGTTGCTAAAGTGTTGCTAGGAGATTCCGGGTGGTTGTTAAAGTGTTGCTAGGAGATTCCGGGTGGTTGCTAAAGTGTTGCTAGGAGATTCCGGGTGGTTGCTAAAGTAGTGCTAGTGTTTGCTAAAGTGTTGCTAGGAGATTCCGGGTGTTTGCTAAAGTGTTGCTAGGAGATTCCGGGTGTTTGCTAAAGTGTTGCACACTGTGGAACCAATTAAATAAGAAACGAATGTTTAAAAAAACTTCCAAAATCACCTTAGATAAACGGCAAAAGTCAACAGGCTTTTCAAAATCCAAAATATTGCCAAACAGGCGCTTTTGCATTTCTTTTCAAAACTAAATCATCCGCGATCGTCTTGTCTGTCTCACGTCACTCTTCTTGTCTGTCTCACCTTACTCTTCTGGTCAGTCAGCTCGACTCACTCTCCTCACTGGAGAAATGAAATCTGATCTGTGATGCGACTGTCGTTCGGCACGCTGCATTGAGCAGCTGCATTCAGTTTTTAATTGTAGTGTCTGTTCTTTTACTGAACTAAATGATTTTTATTTCGATAAAAAATCTAAACGATGGTGGGGGTCGGTGACGCGGTGGGCAAGTGACGTAACCGGTGTTGCGGCTTAACAACGGTATCACCATCAGCACCGTCTATTGCGGCAAGCCTAGTGACAAGTAGAGAGCCAACAGAACACACAAACACATGCTGAAATGAGTGCCGTGCCTGCCTGCGATGAGGAGACTGTGAATAAAAAAATTCATATTAGTCGAATTTAAAATAAAAAAAAATTGCATTTGAATGCAAAAATGGTACAGTCGAATGTTAGGTGTGCGTCAGGTAGTGTCATTAGTGGCGCGCGAGATGCGGTGATGATGATGTAAGTGACGTTGTTGCATTTTAA